ATGTGAGAGTTTGTGTGACGATACTTCAAATCCAAATTTCATTTCCCATCAAACTTAAGAAGCACATGCTCCCCCGAATGTAATAAGAAGGAAACCAACCCAAATTACTGCCCCATGCAAATTAGAGTGTGTGTGTGAGAGAGAGAGGGGGGGGGGAGTGAATATTTTGCAAAACAAAATTCTAAAGAGTTAAATCACTATGCTAAATTCTAAAATTATGTTGCGTTATGAAAGACCAACAAGGGTAATGGTGGCTCCAATCCAGTTGAGAAAGTAATAAGTCTATCTCTCTCTCTCACACATACACACGGTGTGTGTGTGAATTTTGCAAGGAGCACTAGCTACACCAATTGTCAAACCAACCTTGGAAGGCAGAAATTACAACCTTGTGCAAACTATTTTGGGTGTGCGAATGTGTTTGAGGGAGAGAATATGTTGTGAAACAAAATTGTAGAGTTTGATCACTCTGAAAGTTATGTTCCACACATTGAAAGGCTAAAGTCTAAATATATGTTGGGTCTTGAAAGGCCAAACAGGGATATGGTGGCTTTACTCCAATAAAGAAAGTAATATGGATGTACGTACTCAAGTTCCACTTCATCATAAAAATACCATCTTTATTTTTCTTCTTTTGGTTTTATTCATCTCAGTAGTAATAAAGATGTTCATTTGTCTTTCAGCAAACTTTTGATGTCAATAAAGGTGGCTTCTTTCACAAATAACCATGCAGGTGTTCCACTTGGGTGCCCATGAATGTAATCATGTAATGCCACAGGTGGAAAAAAAGTCAAATATGGACAAGAAACAACATCCCACTATTAGTAGACTCGTAGGGTATCCAACAATATAATGGATTTCTAGCTCTTTTTCTCTTTCGGTCACTTGACAATCGGGCACATGAAGAATGTTTCGAGCTTCCACTCCTCCCACTCATCAACCTCGGCACATTGTTTCGGTAGCTCAATTCATAACCCTCAAATATAGTCCCATTGAATGCCTCATAAAGCATATTATGTAATCTTCAACATCTAAACTAATCTTAGACAGCATATTATATCTTCTATACATATGGATTACCTCGTTGGTGAAAGTGTGGATCATACTAGTTGCTAGGCTTTCGGCTTTCCAACCATGTATTAGTGGACAATTTTGAATCCAGCCATCATACACTTACATTATAAATTTCAAACACAAATTGAAGTACATCTGCAATTCTTATCATACTAAAAAAAATATCGGATTGGCTAAACCGCATAGGCCCTATTTGAAACCAAATTCTAGTGATTCCAATAGCCAAATTGAACCTGTAAAGCAACATAACCAACGGAATGGGGGAAATTTTAAAAATAAAAGGCAAATAGAGGATGAAACAGGTTCAACTTTTAATCGAGTCTATGAGAAATCAGTGAATAACAAGATTTCCCTCCTAAAAGTGTGTTTTGAAAAAGCAAAGAATGTTCAGGATCTCACCGCTGTGGGGAAGGTGGCCAGAAGTTGCTCATATATAGGCACTGCCTCTGATATCGGTAGAAGCTACAGAAAGAAATATGTTACATAAGAATAATTTAATCAATAAACCAAAAGATAAAAGAGTACAAAATTGTAGCCACGGACTGGTTGAAGAAGAACACACCAGTGCCTCATTCGCATGCTTTTCTGCAGCTTCAACGTTGTATAGATCTGTCATAACGTTTGTTATGTCATGTGCCTGTGTGTTATACTGCAAAATCAATAGCGATCGTACATAGCTATGCACGTATATGTAGACGGCGTTCCACAAACCCTAGCGAGCGAGCGAGCGAGAGAGAGAGAGAGAGAGAAAAAGATTGTAATGGTCGTCCTTCATAACCCACACGATCAGACAAGTCCGTCTCTCCGCACCTCTGATGTCGCATGGTTATTCTTTTTCGGTTCGGAGCTCAAACCCAAACCCAGTTAAGATTGTTGGACCGAGTTAGCCCCGAAGAGAACCCAACTCGTTTTGACTTCGAATCGGGCGTCTTGGCCACTCCATCGGGTTGTTTTTTGAGTTATTATTTCCCTTCTTGCTTCTAAATTCTATAATTGTCTTTTTGGATAACTACCAATAACCTCGTATCAAAAAATACTCTGTAATATTAAAAATAGACATTAATTATATAATATTTAAATTTTAAATAAAAAAAAATTCTTTCATTATACAATTTAAAATCAAAATAAATAGAGAGAGAATTAGAAATAGATAGAAAAAAAGAGAGGTATGTGTAGATTAATAAAGTTGTTTGATATTGAAGAGTATTAGTTGAGTTGTCGAAGACCATACAAAAATTTTGATATTTTTAAACAGGGAAAAAGATTAAAATAAATTTTATACCATTAAATTAAAATAAATAAAAATTAGATCAATTTTGACATTTACGTTTTATTAAACTAAGAATTCAACTAGTTGATAGATTTTAATGGCTCATAGGCACGAAATTGGAAGGGAATCCCCAGGAAATAGTTATTTTAAGCCATAAAACTCATTCAATATTAAAATTTATGGTTAATTCAATAATAATAGTGCATACTCGGCCATGATTGTATAAGTTTATTGAAGCAAATGGATTGTTGAGGCATAAAAAAGGTTACAGTTTCAGTCTGTGATTCTCCCTTCATACTTACACAAGATTGACTCCAAGCACAATTTAAGGCTTATCCAAGCATAACTTAATCCCAACCTACATGTTATGTGAAAGAGTTAACTATACAAATGATCCTTAAACTATGCCAATTAAGTTCTTGAACTAATTTGGAATCAATTTAATATCTAACTATGCAATCAAATCAAATTGCATAGTTTAGGGACTAAATTGCATGACTCGACTATGCAATTTGACACGTGTGCTCGTAGTTAGGCTGGATTAGAATTTTCCCTGGGATCGACTCACTAAATAATCAAGCCAAATCAAACTTGATCTCCAATTTGACATTGCCATACAGGTCGGGCAATATTACAGGGCAGGGGGGCGACAAAATTCAAACTCGCGACTTTAAGGTTCAACCACAAAGGGCGGCGGTTATTAGGTCAATTGCTAACCTTGCCATACAAAAACTTCAAGCCTTGATAAGAGGGATTAATTCTAAGAGATCAAGTGTCCGGCCATATGAGACATTTTGTCAGGAAAGAACGACCAAAGGAAGTAGTACACAACATACTCACCAAAACATTCCCCGTCAAATCAGGAGTGAAGCAGAGTTTCAACTAAAGTGGCTATACATACGCAAGTCCTTGAACGACCAGAGTATATCATACAATCGGAGAAGAGGTTCAGTAGCTTACTGTTACAGTTACAGTGACAGAACAATACATAACAACAAGAACACAATTTCTACAGAGCACGCGGTAAGTTAAAAGAAAACACTTGAGTGGGAAGGATGGATTGACCAGACGCTGGCAGGTTCCAAGTTGTAGACTTGTTCAGCACGAAGAAGACACCTTTTCCCTTAACTTTCACGCCCAAAGACCTTAAAACAGAGGATTAAGTTTACCTTCATCAACCTCGGCCAGGCACATCTCAGTCATATAGCATAGACTATCTCTCCACTGCTATCTAAGTCGAGGTCAGGATCACTCTCGAAGTCCTCATCCATTTCATCATCAATGTCAAGGCTACCGGTCAGATACTGATTAAGACTGGCAGTTCCAGCAGCCGGAATGGTGGCTTCAGCAATGATCTGCATAATTTCATCAATGCTCTGCATGGGCTCATCAGGCTCTTTAAACTGGTTGTTCTTGGTGCCCTCATCCATCAGTTCTGCTGGGAGGGGGAGGTTCTGCAGAAACCACGAGTGGTTTCTGATGTCAAGCATGGTTATCCTCTGTTGTAATGTCATCAATTGGATTAAGTCAAAAAATAATAATACAGGGTTTTACAATCCTCCAACATTTAAGAGAGACAACAGAAGTCAGCAAAATGACAGCATCAAAATTTATAAGCAGGTCATTACCCTCAAAGCAGTTTTATTGTTATTTTTGAAAACCATACAAGGCAACCAGTCAGAAATGCAGCAAATTCATGAACACAGCCCCCCCACCAAACACACACTCACAAAAATAAATAAATGGTCCATGTACAAGTGTATGTCAATCATCTCAGTTTTAAAGAAGAAAACAGAAAGATGGGGAGTTCTATTATAATGACAAACAAAAGAGGAACTCCTTTCGAATCACCATCACCCCCAAACATACATGCCCCTAAAGGGTGGAAAAAAGAAATCTTACGAGAAAAGCACCAAAACTTGTGTCCCATATTATAGACAAATTGAACATCTGCAAACAAGCTCTGGTATCAAGAAACAAAAACTGACCTGTGCAGGATCAGCTACAAAAATCCTTGAGATCAGATGGCGGCACTCTGCCGATATATGAACATAATCTGGAATTGCATACTGTACATTAAGAATTCGCTGCAGAAAACAAGCAATTACCTAAGTCAAAAGTAATTTGGATGAGATGGCATATGCGAGAATTACTTGGAATAGTAAATTACTTGTATTGTCTTGCGAAAGTTCTTAGGGTCAGCAGGGTCCTCAAAAGGATATGCACCCACGAGCATGACATATAAGGTTACGCCACAAGACCACACATCTGCAATCTAAAATAGAAATGGTGCATTCAAAGCAAAACTTTAGCATTACAATATGGTCAGTACTAGTGTGAATTCATGACTGTACATGTGCCAAAAGGCTTCTTGATTGCAGTCAACTTGACTCAACTACTTGAGTGGCTACATAAATCTTGTTCTGTCTCAATACTCAGTCTAAGGCTATGTTCTTTTTGTTAAAGCAAAACTATCATATTATTCTGTACTATCTCACTCACTGCCAAATTTTGGTCTACCTCTATTCCTGGCATCATCATCGATAGATATCATACTACTCTTCCTTATTAATGCATTCATAGTTCTTCTTTGAACAAATACAAACCATTTTAGTCCTTATCTCTCAATTTATCAACTACTGATAGTACTTCTATTACTTCACAAATATACTATTCATAATCTTATCCTTTCTTCTTGTAATATACATCCACCTTAACATCCATATTTCATTCACACTTAAATTTCATGTTTAATGTTTCGTAGTTACCCCACACTGTACAGACATAGAGCTTTTTTTCAACTCAAGAGGTATACATGAACCTCTTGCAGAAGAAACTTTTGTTTGTGTCTCCCAATTCCCTTAATATATTTTGTATAATAGAGCCCAAATGCCACAGAAGACAATGTAAAACAGCCTGACAAAGCCTGTATTTCCGGGCATGACTGGCCAAACAGTTTCTGATATGCTTAGATTCTTTGTAGCACAAATATGTTGAAAACACCCATCCACATTCAGGGGTCTAAAAGGAATACAATGAGGAGTTCTATGGGCTGTGCAGTGAGTTCACAGATAATTAGCCAGTCAAAACCACCACTGCCCTGATATCCAATGGCAGCACAACCTTCCTGGCCCTCTTTGTTTTTCAGGCTTATCCAAAGACTCATGATTTCCACACCTTCTCCCCCCCCCCCTTTTTTTTCTTCTCTCTTCCTTCTTCTTTTAACCCCAAAAAAAATCAAGAGACAAACACCCCCAACTTTCTCTTAAACCCCAGCTACATAAGGTTCCCTTGCTCACATGCATCAATAGTGAGCTTGACCCAATGACAGGAATCTTATAAGCAACATAGAGCAATACTTTCCTATATTCATCCTGCTTTAAGACATTAAGCATTTAGATATCATTTGCTATTATATGACCTAATGGACAATAAATTGAGAAATAGACACCATCCTAACTAGTGAACTTTTTAGGAGTAAAGTAACGTCAAATAAATGAGACATAGATTTACCTTGCCATCATACTCTTTCTTGAGCAACACTTCCGGGGCAATATATGCAGGAGTTCCAACAGTTGATTTGGGTTGTGAATGCAGCACTGAGGACTGAGTAAAGCAATCACAATCAAAATACTTAAATAGGAAACCAAGAAAAGAACAAAGATATGGGGTGAAAACATGAAAGCAGAGTCAATCATAGGAAATAGGAACCATTAAGATACAATAAATAACTACTCTCTCTCTCTCTCTCTCGCATTCTTGTTATTGTTTGGAGCTATACATTGAGAAACTAATTAACATGCATATAAGATTTCAAATAACATCTCCCATGAAAGATATCCTGATTCTACACATAACAAATCTATATTCCTCGCATGAGATGAAGAATCATAAATGAGCAGAAGAATAACATAAAGATGGAGATACAAACAAGAAAGAGATTTGGTACCTTGGAATACCCAAAATCACAAATCTTCAGTCGAGGAGCTGGGCTTCCGTCCAATAATGTGTTCTCCAATTTCAAGTCCCGATGGCATACTTGCTTTATGAGGCAAAAAATACAACAAAATTAATAAATTCATATGCAGACTGCAGCACATTTATTTATTGAAAGAAGGGCATAGAATTTCTTTATATACCATTGCATGACAATAACTGACTCCTGATATGAGTTGTTGGAAGAAAAAGCGTGCCTGCAGCAAAGTAAATACACCATCAGTAAAAATGGGATTCAAGTAACAACCACAATTAATGCACCGGATAAAAACCTCATCCTCGCTAAATCGGCCGGCATTGCATATCCGCTCAAATAGCTCTCCTCCAGATGCATATTCCATCACAATTGCCAAATGTGTTGGTGTTAATATAACCTAGTAGGATTTTTACAGCATAACGTTTATTGACTCAGGCCTTTTAAGAAAACAATGCAGAAAAGACAGAGTTTGGACCAGAAGGAACCTCTTTGAATCGGACAATATTGGGATGCCTCAGTGATCTGTGGTTAATAATTTCCCTTTGTACATTTTCATCTATCTGTTAAACAAATTAACAAGAGATTAGATAAAGAAATAAGTAAATAAAGAGTGCATCTCAAAATCAGACAACTCCACTCAAGTGAACAACTTGTCCCAACAACCTGAGGGCGTCCCAATATCAGATTAAGTACCTCAAGTGTCTGAAGGTCAAAGGGACTAATCACTAATCAAACTGGCACTAAGTTTATAACAGAGGCCATAATGGACAGATCCAATCACATGAGCAGAAAGGGTAAAAAACCCAAGTACTTGTTCAGGACATTTAATCACCATATTTTGTCCGCTTTCTCTAGTTTACCTTTCTTTCTTAGACATAGCCACAATAATGATCCTCATTACATGAAGAATAATACAGTTGCTAATCTTGGGACACTGTATATCCAGTAACAAGTTGAACTAAGCCTCTTTCTTTGTTTCTAGAATGTAAAATACAGACAACTTAGTATCTCATTACAGGCCAGGTTGGGATAGCTGATAAGCTGTTGCAAACTTCCAAGTGACCTTCCTTTTTGCTGCCCATTATTCATATTTCGGAAGTGAAACAGAAGAATTAACATTAATATATTATGATTCAAAACACAAATCAAAGGCACATATTGAAGCTTGGACCAATTTGTTTGCTTCCTTTTTCTAACCGATTCTCTAAATAAACCAAATCCAAGCCTTATATCCCAATCATTTGGGATCGGCAATATGAGACGCTCTTCCCTATTCACTTCGGAAGATTCGCTATAAGCTCAAACCGATTCTCTAAATCCAAAACATAATTAACCCGAAACTGATGGGAATTTCTATATATATAAGAAAAGCAAATTTCAACCAAACAACCCAACCACCAACCAGTTATTATAAGACCAAAACATGGGCTGAAACAATGGAGCTTGAGTAAATACAAATTGAAGTAAGAAACTTAGACACTGACCTTCTCACCTCTCTCGATATACTTGACAGCGACGAGCTCGTTGGTCTGCCTATCCCTCATCAGCCTGGCCACACCGAAATTCCCCGAACCGATGTCTCGAACTAGCTCATACCGATCGCTGTCGTGCATTATTGGCAAGTCCATGCCCGGCCCTACCGTAATTGCCGATCGATCCATCTCTACAATCCCCTATTCCACCAAGCTCAAAGTCGAATTACCACCAGAATAAGAACAACTCAGCTGTCATCGGACCGAAGAGCAAAGCACGCGACGTGGCAACAAATCGATCACACGATTGATGAACTGTTAGCTATAGTTGGTTGAAGTAGATGGAGACGGCAAAGATGAGCTCTAGCCCGTGAAGCTTTCACTTACCCTCTCACCAATAATCAACAGACTCTAGCTTTTCTTTTAGGGTTTTCAAGTGGCACACTTACATGATCACGACGATGATGTGTATACATACATATATATATATATATATATAGAGAGAGAGAGAGAGAGAGGGTTAAGCAGATAAAGGAACTCGTGAAGTTAGATGCTTGTTTCTTCACTTTCTCTTTCTTCTAACTTTTTTCCTTCACTTTCTCTCTCTAAGCTGGTCTCTGTATCTACCATCGGAGAGGCGGCGACATGAGAGAGAGAGAGAGAAAGCCGGAGATTTTTTAAAGATTCTCGGTAGACAAAGTTCTATTATTGTTCTGTGCACCACAGTAACGGATGTAATTAAATATGATTCGAAATTACACAAATACCCTATTTCTAGTTTTGCTCTCTTCGAATAAAAATACATTCTAATGATAAATTTTATCATTATTTTATAAAATATTATTAAATAAATAAAATAAATCTTACTTTTATACTATATTGGTAGTTGTTATATTAAATAAAAGAGATAGTTATTAAATTTTTTAAAATTCCCTTTAATTGTTATTTATTTATAACATAATAATATAAATTGATCAATAATGATAATTATTGCTAATTTAAAGATATAATACTACATTTTTTTTTTTATCAAAAATTATTACAAAGAAACTATTGACAAGGTTCAACTTTTAGTTCGATTTATTTACATGCGTCTTGGATACCAGCGAATTTCTAAACTTTTAGTTCGATTGGTCAAATGTGCCCCTGGAAGTTGTGGATAAGGTTCACAAATCACGAGAAAGCTTGATTTAACTTCAGAACCAAGTACGTTTTGCCAAAAAAATTGTATAGTATTTTCATGGTAGACAGCTGTGATGGGCCCACCAAAATTTATATGTAGACTACCAAATGGTCCAAACCTTATATACAATATTTTTTAAGGTGCAAGATATTATCTTTTTATATCATATATTATTTTTTTATTTTTACGTTCAATTATTATAAATATATCAACACAAGATTTTTAATTAAAAATATTTTTTTAATTATAAAATTTTCAATTGACTCACAACGTTAATTTTAAATTGTTAAAAGTTAGAAAAATTAGTTATGTTATACTTTCGCCATCCAAAATTCGCCGCATTTTCTTTCCTCATCTTTCAAAAATCTCCACTGCCCTGCTTGTCCTACCGCCATTGGTCACAGGCAACGTCCATTTGCCATCTCCAATATCTCACTGCGATCACGATCAACAGCAACACCTTTCATCATTGTCCCTGTAGATGAATACCGTCCACTTCCACAAATCTTGGTGATGCTAGAATTAAAGGAACTATGCCATAAATAGGTGGGTACTGCAATAAACTTTTCCTTTGCATCCTGCTCCGGGCGGTGCTTGGTTGTGTTTGTGTAGTGGGGGCGGCACATTTTGGGGCCTAAACAAGGTATTTTTTAAAAAATATTAATTAAATTTTTATATTCAAATTTTTTTTTATCTACACAGAACTTCATGGTAAGACAGACAGGAGGAGAAATAATTATTAAAAAAATTATGATGATAAATTTAAATTTGATTTTTTTTTTAGATTACAACTTATTTTTAGTAGCATTAATTTTATTATTAGTTTTTTTATTTTTATTTTCAAAAAATTAAATTTTGGGGCCTTTTTATAGGTTCAATTAATTTAAGTTGAAATTTTTTGTTTGAATTTAAATTTAAATTTTTTGTTTGAATTTAAATTTAAATTTAAATTTTTTATGTTGACTATTATTACACACTTCAAATTTATAGAGTTTTCCTTTAAATGGGCCCAACTCAGAGCTTATTAGCTTAGCGGTTGGGCAGCCCTATTGTGTAGTTTTGGTTCTGTATTGTTGTAAATGGATGGGAATGTGTATATTGGGTTGGGCTGGGTTGGGTTGGGTTGGGTTGGGATGCACTCTTTATATACCTACCACCCAAAAACAACAAAATCCAAAATCATTTTCCATGCCTAGTGTAAGGATGGCAATAACTAAAATTAAATGGAAAAACAAAAGGGTAGATGTGTCCCCCCAAAATTAGGATAAATTTTACTATGCACATTCATATACTATATTTTTTATATCGCATATTTAATGTATTAAACGTATTGTGATGTGACATTTTTTATTAACTTTCGTTATTCATTATATCAGTATCAATGAAGTGATTTTTGACGAAATGAGCAACGAATTATTATTTTATTTACATAACTTTCAACGTCAAATAATTCAACTAATACACTATTTAATAATAAATAACCCACATATAAATATTGCATGACCAGTACTAGATTTTTAGTATTAGAGAATATTTTCAATCACGAGGTTATTGCTAGTATATATAGATAAAGTAAATATATTTTTCTTGTAATTGAGGTTAATTGTTAGTCTAATGATCACGATCCTAATCATTGAAAGAAGATATTAAATGTATCGATTAATAATATCATGTGATATAGCCGTTCATTAATAAGTCTACAAGGTAGACCCATAAAAAATCTGGTACACTCCATATTTACTCAATTGTTGGATATTAAAGCCGGGTTCGAGGTCCTACCCGGTAATAGTGCGCGAAAAAAAAAAAACGAAAAATCTTTACTGTAATTCCATTTATACCCTCGTATTTGTCATACTTTCACGTCCGGAGTGCTTGACTTATTTGGTACTTGCTTGTGCTCTCTCGTCTGCATGCAAAATCCCCAAATACAACATAAAAAGAAACACACAGCCTCACAGAAAATCCCCAAAACTCTACAAGCATTTGTAGAGTTTTGATCAAAAAGAACACGAAGAAAAGAGAACAATGGTGTCGGACTCGAAGCTAGTGGATCGGCTCTGGGTAATCCTCGGAAGCTCCGACCTCAGCACCACCACCGCCGCCGTTGTCCGCCGGAGACTCGAGGAGGATTTCGGTATTGATTTATCGGAGCGTAAAGCCTTCATCACAGACCAAATCGATATGTTCCTTCAAATCCATATGGGGAGACCCGAAAACGACACCGACGTCGACGCCGAGGAAGAGGGTGGTGAAGAAGAGTCGGAGACTGTGAAGGAAGAAGAGAATGGCGGTGGCCAGTCCGAAGAAGAGGACCCTGAAGAAGAACAAGCGGAAGAAAAGGAAGAGGAAGAGGATTCGAGTGATGTAAAGAGAAGCAAGAAGCAGAGGTGGGGTTTTCTTGAATTTTCCTTTAAATTATTTGTCTTTGTTTTTTCAAAATTTCTCTTTATTTTCTGTTTTGTTGGTAGGAAATTGGGGAAAAGTGAAATTCTTGGATTGCTTCATTGTTTAACGTGGTTTTGGACAAATTTTGCTTTGTGGTATTGGGTTCATAGTGCTTGCTAACTTCATAATTTTTAAATTGCATAAGAAAGAACATAAAGAAAAAAAAAACTATTCAATTGTTTCATTTATTGCCATGTCTTGATTATGTCTTTCATATCTAGTAATGTTATTCGGACTTAATTTACTAACCTAATCATTCATACTAATCATTCATAGCTAGATTGATAGGAATCATTCATAGCTAAATTGATAGTGGACTCTAAGTATTTATCGAGACCCACAATGATGACAAATTAAATCCAAATAGCATTATTGATTTCAAATCCTAAATGTAAAAGTTACTCGAGTTAATTGGCACATTCTTCTTCTGATCATGTTCAAATATTTTTTTCTTTTCTTTTAGCTGGTTTTTCTTTTCTAATATTTTTTTTGAAATATTTTTTATTTCATATGTATAAACCCACCCTGTTGGTAATTATGCATATTGGTTTATAATAAATTGTAATGTATTAGAAGCTGGCTACATTGACCTTACAAGAGGAATATAGCTGAGTCTCTTGTGCTTGACACAAAAATGCTCGCACAACTTGTATGGGATAACTTAGGGGCAAGTATTTTATTTTTACTTAGTGAGAAATGGGAAGGACGTTAATGAAAACATCTTAAGAGGAGCCTTAGTTGTTTCACATTGATATATTTTAGCTAGATTCAAAGGTTGTAACTTTCAGTTACTATTGCACAATGTAACAAATAATGAGAAAAGAATGTGTAAGATGCTCATCAGAGTCTATAGCCTTAAGATATTGGCATAAACACATTCATCGTTGATCTATTTATTTCTAGATGATAGGTAGATTGCTGGCATTGATATTTGTAAGCTTAATTGTTTCATCTTATCAAGTAGATCTGCCCAGTTGGATAAAGATGCAAAGAAAAAAGTAACAGGCTTCTGCAAACCATGTCGTCTCTCTCCACAGCTACAAGAACTTGTTGGAGTGCCAGAATTGGCCAGAACTCAGGTATATCAGATTGTTTTAGAAGTTTCTCCTGATTTGTTGACATCATTTTGAAGAAGTTTTTTTTTTTCGTGAGCTTTCAGGTTGTCAAGAAACTTTGGGCCTATATCCGGGAGAAGAAATTACAAAATCCAAAGAATAAGAGGAAAATTTTGTGTGATGAAACACTACATTCTATTTTTCGTGTTAATTCGGTTGACATGTTTCAAATGAATAAAGCACTGTCCAAGCATATATGGCCAATAGATGAGGAAGATGGTACACTTCTTCAAACTTTAAAATTCATGCTACAGTCATCAAATTTCTTACAGTTTGTTGTGGCAAATATTGAGACGACTTCTTCTCCTTCTTCAACATCCATGGACACGTTAGCTCTTTTTGAGTTTAAAACCTCAGTTGCAATACATTACAGAGATGCAGCCTAGGTTGTTGCAAGTTCTAATGATGCTTGGGTTAGCTGCAAGTCAATAAAAATTGTTTGTCATTCAGCTTTATCAAGAGTTGCTTTGAAGCCGTATTGGGTGATATATTAAGTTCAATTTATGACAATTACAATATGAAATTCTATTTTTAAATGGTTACAGTCAATACCTCCAGAAAATTTTGACATCATTGTCTTGTAATTTGAGAACATTTCTCTTTGTGCAAATAATGCCAAACTATGTATCTAGTCTACTTCTCTCATTCCCTTACTAATGGAATTCATAAGGGTTGTTATTTTCTTTTAACTTTGTCCCATATAAGTAAGATATGTGAACCCCCAGCCGTAACTTTATTAATGAAGAACAAAATTTTAGAAAGGATTACTGCTCCAGGAAAATTTAAGCCTTCACCAGCGTGTTTCCTTACTCTTGCAAATTTTGTGATTACTAGTTTTCTTTGTCTGTATCCTGAAGCAGCATTTTTGTATGCTTCAGGGTTTTGCTTTTTTTGCTAGAACACCATGGGAGTGATCTTATAAATAAATGAACAGTGTCTATTCCATACATGTATATTACTTACTAGATTTCTAGGCCATCCTTTTATCTAGAATGGTTTGTGATTAGTGTTACCACTTTTGTATGGATATTTCTTTATCATGTAACTACTTATGTAACTTGGACATGTTAAAGAACCATCGTTGGAATGTGATCTACCAGACAAGTTGCACCCTCACAAACGGTTTTTATGCTTGTATTGGCTAAATTGTTTGACACACATCCAAAATTGAAGGTCATCCTGTAAGATGCCCTACTTGTATAATTCACATAAGTTGTTTGAATGATCTGTGAAACATATGAACCATAGTCTTTTTCATTGATTCTCAATTACGGGATGTGGGGAAGGATTTACAATATGTAGATTTTATATACTTGCAATATTGATCTTGTCCTGTCACAAACCCTTAGGTTTACATATTCTTTAATTGTGAAGTACTGATTTTTTTTTTATATTATGGATTAAGTGAGATTTCTTTCTCCATGAAGAAACAGCTCCAGTCAATCATCTCATAAGGAAAAGCGACAAAAACTAGGCAGAGAAGGTGAGAACAATAACTTTAATTCTTGGAAATTGTCAGCCTGCTAGATTTCTCTTTCTTAATATGTCAATCTGCATTTTAAACCTGTCTTCACCATGTGTTGTCCTTCACACTCGCCAGAGGAATGGGAAATTACTTTCAGCGACTCTTGAAAGCAGACATTTTTAGTCATACAGAGATTACTCTTTTTGATTATGCAGCTTTAGATCAGCAAAGGCAGAAAGAAACACAGCGGAAAGGGGGAGGATCTGGTTTTCTGGCCCCATTTCCATTATCAGATTCTCTGGTGAAATTCTTTGGTACTGGGGAGGATTCTTTATCACGGGCTGATGTAGTTAAGCGCATGTGGAATTATATAAAACAAAATGATCTGCAGGTACATAGTTACTCTTCTTAGTAAAGCCCTTGTTATGATCACACTTGATACACACCAAATCCACATTTTGCTACATGCACTAGTGTTTACTATTCAATGATTAGATGTCCCACTCGATTAGTATCTAATCCATTCGTGAAGCGGATAGCGCTGGTAAACAAGGAAGCTATTGGGAATGAAATAACTTGGTCCCTCATTTTCTTTTCTCAAGTATATTTACTGTTTTGATGAAGTGATGCTATAGCTCGAGTTATTGGCAGAGATTTTTCCTAAAGATTAACCTAAAAAAGAAGAAAAAAAAACGCTTTTTTTTTTCTGCTACAAATGCAAGGTGCATTGTTTCTAATGTGGTTTTCTGCTCGTATTGTGTAGGATCCATCTGATAAGAGGAGGGTTTTGTGAGATGATAAGCTAAAAGAACTCTTTGAAATTGATTCCTTTAATGTCTTCTCAGTTTCTAAGCTTCTTACTGCTCACTTCATCAAACCAACATAGAAAGGTGTTATATTTCTAACTCGAACCCCTGACAAGTTGCCAATTTTGCATTTGATCAGTTTGTTTCAACCTCTGTTAGTTTGTCTATTGCAAGTTCAAATTGAATTTATTAGGCTTGTTTTTTAAACAAGTCTAAAAAATTGTTCGAGCGGATTGTTTACCACCGGAGTTAAGCTATGAATTTTTTGAGGCATTGACAATGACTGGTACAGTATAAAATCGGGTCGGGCTAACAAATATGAGGTTGTGGGTAGGGTGTTAACAGGTTGTGGGTCAGGTTTGCACTTAATCGAAGTTAACGTGGCTTGAGCAAAACCAGGCCTGTCCAACCCATATTCTTCAAGTCCAAGCCCGTCTGACCCATACTCGGGCGGGATTTGAACCAATTGCCCCCTTAATCTAATAGACTGTCCATTGGGCCACGACTATTTGCCAAAAAGGAGGACAATTAATAGGGGATAAAGATACGGGTACCCGGGTGAGTATCATACCTTCACAAATCTCGGTCATAAATTTTAAATTGAATAATTTGTAATCGTTAATTTCAAGAATAATAAAGTAATAAAAAATTATAAAATAAATAAATTGCACACGTGACACATTTTTGATGATGCACAAAAATAAATATATGCACCATTTGTCCAGTAATTAATATAAGTAATACATGTAATAAATATATATGTGATCAACACACAGATATAGAGTAGTTCGGTTAGAGTGATCTATTCTATTTTGAAGACAGCAATGATAGTCGAAGGACTTTATTGATAAAGTAATTGGTGGGAGAAAGAAAGAGAACAAAAGTAAACTCCAAGTGTGTAAAAGGTGTGTAGAGGACTTACAATTTATAGGCACATAATTTTGGTTGAGGTGGTGGAGTGAAAGGATAGGTGACTAGTTTTTTGGGGAGGATAACTACAACTAGGATAGGTATAATTAAAGATAGTCTCGATTTTTAAGTAGTATTCTTGACATTTATTTTTCACATGTGCACTAATCTTTTGAATCCTTGAATTCTAGATTGGGTTGAGGTTATGAGCTAG